TTTAAACATAGATGTGGTACATACATCACAAACACTCAATATTTTACCAAAGATGAAGATTTCTAAATATTTATTTCTTATTGCTTTGTCTTTTATAATTTATAGAAAAAATTTTTTTACCAGAAATTAATTCCCATGTTTCCTAAATATAGAAATGTAGAATCCACACAGTACAAAGTTGAAAATAACTACCAGACACTTGTTTTGGCAGACTACCAGAGATTTGTTTTATCAGACTAAAAGAGACTTGTTTTATCAAGCTAAAAGAGACTTTATTTTTTCACTCAGAAAGGAATTTTCCAGTTAATTATCTTCTGGTCAGGTAATAGTTGTTGGACATTATTCTTGGTTTAAATTGATTTCAGTCAGGTTAACTTAAAATTTTTATTAAAGTGAAAGGTTGATTTTCTTCTTAATTTTTAATAATTTATAATATCAAGGCAGAGTAAGTCAATTTTGATTTTCATTAAACTTGCTTGATTGGAAAGTTATCCACAGGACTTGTAACTTTGTAGACTTAATGGACCTGTGATCCAATGGAATTTTGGGGTAAGTACTGTGATCTGGTTGAAATTCCGGATAATTATCAGCAATGTAAATTGCAGGCTTTATTAGGCATGAAACTGTCTTGGTATAAAAATTGAACTTATTTTAAGTCTTAAAATGTAGAAATTATACTTGTTGTCTTTTAACATTGGTGAAAATGCAGATACAGAGCAGTTTGAAGCTAATTCTGATATTTTGGTGTTTCTAACTCTGTTATTGGACAGAGCAACCAGTTTGAAGCTAATTCTGATATTTTGGTGTTTCTGTTATTGGTAAAATTATTGAGAGTCAGAATTGTTTAATTTTCAGTCCAAATTTTAGGACACTTCATGAGAGAGTAGCAATTAATCCCACCCTGGCCATTGCTGTTGAACCCTCAAGAAATGCTTTTTGACCTTAATCCTATTGGTTGATCAAGCTTTACAAGGATACAGGCACTAGCTGGGAGGTTAAACTTTGATAGACTGGAATCCCATCCATGAGTAAACAGTATACATCTTATTCTCAGAGGGAATTAGACTTGTCTCTCAGTCACCATATCACTTATTTATAACGATTTCCTAATGTATTCCTGCAAGATTTATCTCCATTTGAAACTCTTCTTGCACAGAAGTGCAATGTTTTTTTTTAACAGATTCTTATCAACAGTTTTGGTTTTAATGTTTTGAATATAACTTGTTATTTGTTATATATATATATATATATATATATATATATATATATATATATATATATATATATATATATATATATATATATACACACACACACACACACAAACATTTCATAGAAAAACTAAATATAGCACTGTCCTATATCACCAGACTAATATGATGAATAGAATATTAAAAAATAATCAAGACTTACAGCACCTGTTGTAAATGTTGAGTATTTTTAACAGAATTTTTTGAGAAGCCTTAACAGCTTGAAGTGTATTCACATTATATTAGTATTGCTTTCATCCATTATATTTGTTGAATTCGCTTTTAAACATAGCTGACTTAGGGGTATGTCCTCTACCAGCGAGTGGAGGTGCAAAGGATACAGCTTAGAATCCATTACAACATCCAGAAAAATAATGCTGACATGATTATGCTTTTGGTTCTCTTTTAAAACAATTACACATATCAAGATATCGCCATCAGAAACTTCCTTCTCTTGAATTAGTATAGTCGGATTTGTATGTGTCATTTTATCAGACATGCACTTTTCCGCACCACTGTAGTAAATATGTCATATTTTTATTTATCCGCATGGAGTGTGTAATGTTATGATTAGGTCTGACATTTTGGCTTTGGCTTCACATAAACCCAAACGGTGTGATGCCTTTGTAGGAGAAAAAGATCCCTCTGGATTTAGGAGTCAAAGTGTCAAAGGTTGAGGTCACTATGACTGACCAGAGTAACTCAGTTTCCAAAATATGAGTTCTGACTGACTCAGATACCTTCACCAAACGTTGTAGAAGACTTGCTTTTATGAACACAAAGAACCCTGTTGAGTTGGGATCAAAGATTGAACTCACAGATATTGTGTTCAGTATGTCTGTTTATTACAAATAAATGGCTCCCATTTTTAAACACCTGTTCTGCTCAACATACGTCAGCAAGGGACTCCCATATTGAAGACCAACAACTACATTCATTTGGGACTCAGAAGGTCAAAGATCCAAGCCGTTGTTACCAACCGTAGGAAACTGGTTGATGTAAAGGAACTTAAATTCTGCTTAGTACATTGCCTTGCCTTGTAAGGTATACCGAACTCTGGTGATTAATATACCCCGAACCCTTAGGTTATTGGTATACAAAACCCTGGTGATTTGTTGACCGCTATACAGAATCCTGGTGATTGGTGATTGATATACAGAACCCTGGTAATTGGATTATTTATATACAAAACCCTGGTGATTTGGTGATTGATATACAGAACCCTGGTAATTGGTATACATAACTCTGGTGATTTGGTGGTTGGTATTTAAAGATCAAACTCACAAGTATCTGACAAAGTAAAATAGTTTTAATGCAGAAAACGTGAGGTCTACTGAATATGAATGTGTTATCCTTGATGATCCTTTGGAGCCTGTTACTTATTGTACATCTCGTATAAAATATCATAGATTTTGATGCATCAGACCAGATTGTCTTAAAGAGAATTTTTCTTTCGCAAAGTAGCATGGCATAGAGCAGATTTCAGAATGTCCCGTTGCATTTCTTAATGTTTCATTATTGTCTTTTTTTATAGTGTTTGCCACTCATTTTCATTTAGAGTAGACCTTAAACATGCTTAAATTTGATGTTGGAATACACCTACATATATTAATGGCACTGACTGACAGAAGCGCATTAATTCAAAATTGTCCATATGTTTAAATACATATATTAACAATTACCAGTTTGTTCAAATACATGTGTATTAATAATTGCCAGTTTGTTTAAATACGTGTGTTTCATGTTTTAAATGCTTTTTTCTGTGTGATCTTTCCAATTTGAAAAAAAGAGATTTTTAACATGTAGTATTATGTAATACAGTTTCTTATTTTATTGAGGTATGTCATTTGTGTCATCCATGTTATACATTTTTATTCTGCATTTGGTGAACTTGAGTGGTATATTTTGTGAACTATTTACCAATGCATATCTGATTTTAAATTTTATTATCATTTGGACGTTACTCTTAGTTTATCACATTATTTATACTTGTTAACAGTAATGGAATGTAGCATCGCTTTGAATCATGTATGTAACGATCAACTGCTTTGTGCATAAGAAAGAAAATTTTTTTGCTCAGGGACACAAACCGTAACTTGATTTGATCAGACTTATCTTGCTTATTTTATAACATTACATTTTGACAAATCTATTTTCTTCCTTTAAGAATCACCCAGTATTAAAAATATATACTATATGTACAATTTTTAGTCTGAAAAACTAACAAAAGTAATAAAACATTTTTTTTGTAATTAAAGCTCAGTCATTTCCTCTGGGATCACGTAATGACTCTTCAAATTATTTTTCTTTTCATTCTTCTTTTTTGGATTCTCTTTATGGCTGCATCTTGATTATAGATTTATGTAGATGTTTTCTCACAACATATGGACACATAATAAAATTATAACAATTACTGGTCATAAGAAGCAATAAAAAATATAATTAATTACTCTGTATTTTACTTTGATTTAAATTAAAAACTCGTTACTTTTACCAATTTTCATGGCCCTCATCAGTAGAAGTCTCTCTACATACTTTATTTTCTGTATCTTTTTTATACTTTCTAATTACTCTGCACCATCAGTTTTTTTAATTGTTTATTTTTTCAGAGAACTTTTTATTTTTATTTTGCAGATATGTGTACTATAAAATAAACTGAGATTAACATTTTTTTTTCCTTTCTCAAAAGTTTAATAAAAAAAATATGCACAGACTTTAAGAAAGTAAGGATCCCATCATAGAATTCTGTCCTCACAAGAACTTCATTTGAATCATATTTAAACCATATTCTCAGTTTTGTTCATATATTGTATGTTTACAAACAGTAGTTGAATGCATTGTAACACGAGAACTTTAATAACACTGAGTTGTGAAAATTTTTATAAAAACTAGAAGTTGGAATGTCTCATACAAGCAATGGTTATATATATATATATATATATATATATATATATATATATATATATATATATATATATATATATATATATATTCAAAACTTTATCGTCTCCATATCTTCTATATGGTAAATAAAAGAACATCTTTCCGTTTGTACGTCATACATAGTGTCCATTGATATTAATATGATACCATTTGTTCCAAAGTTAAGTGACCTGATCATAACACTTGTTATATGTGTCTCTCTCTCAAAAAAAGTCATTAGTTTTTACATGTACTGTTTTTATATTGCCGTGACTGATATGGTTGTCTCATGGGAATTAAATATGGAAAACTTGGAAGATTTGTCTGTTGGGTTTTGTGCTCAAAAATGAATATATACACGCCTGTGCTATTGAAAGCACAGCTGTTCTATCCATAGAAACACTCAAGAAGCCTTGCTTTTTAACTTTCTTTTGCACGATATTTATTTATTATTTGTGTTAGATGTACATTAAAGAAGATAGAGGGATTTTTCATCTTAAAAAGGTTAGTTGTGTGTACATGGCGTTAGATATCCAGTTAAAATTTAATAAACCTGACGTGTTACAAAAAATAACTGCACTGCTACTCATAATAGATGGATTAAATCTTGCAAGTTCGAAGTTGCATGTTTTTTTAAAAAATTCGCAAATCATTTAATTTAAAATTCAAATTCGACTCAAGGTCAAGTTTAAGAGTTAATATAGTGTACATATCAATGCCGAATGAGCAGTGTGACATGACTCGGTGGTCTTAAACTAATTTTAAAAAAAGAGCGACGTCCAACAAATTTAGTTAATATTTAACAAATAATTTATTTCCCTACAAACCGCTCCGGTAGCCTAGTGGTTAGAGCGTCCGCCTCATATTCGGAAGGTCGCGAGTTCGAACCCCGACCGAGTCATACCAAAGACTTTAAAAAATGGTACTAACAGCTGCCTCACTTGGCGCTCAGCATTAATAGGTTAGTGTTAGGACTGGTCGGCCTGGTGTCAGGATAATGTGACTGGGTGGGACATCATAACCACATGTCTGCGGCATGATGCTCCAGTGTTAGACATCACTATAAACGGTCACACTGCAGACGTAGAACTATGACTGAAAAATTGTTAAAGCTACGTTAAAAATCTAAATCGCACACATTTCCCTAGAATACCTGGGGAAAATTGTTTTAAAATTTACAGTATTGTGAAATAGATCCCATATTGTCCTAGGAGTTCTTCACAAATCCAAAAGTTTCCAGTATTCAGAATGAATTCCAGTGGTTTTAAAAATGAATTCCACTCTTGACTGTGTTGATTGCTAGTAGCCTCGAATGTACTAATGTACCAACAATCCTGGTGTATCACAATGATGTCCTTGAATGAATTCACAGTTAGTCCCAATGAAGTAGTTTAGTCCTAAAATATTATTGATCACTTTGTAATTTCAGTGTCAATTTAAACAAATAAATCCTCTCAAATATTAACTGAAACACTCTTAAATTGATTCCATTAGGACTGATACAAAATAGGTAATTCTAATATGGTCAGCCGTAATATTAAAACGTAAAATACAATTTGAGAATCAGGATAAGAGTAATCTTAATAGAAATTTCCATCAAACTGTAAACTAAATTTATAGAATATTCCAAGATATTTTGCCCCAAACCCAGTAGCATCTAGAATACTGGTTTCTGGCTTCCAGACATACGTTGAATTTAGGTAACCCAACTGCTGTCTGATTAAAATCTGGATCTGCTTATAAGAAGTCGAGAGATGATGACATCGTATCGTTGTCTGTTAAATATGCTTTATGGTAATCGTACTTGGCACAATAGTGACTACCATGGCCGTCGGCACATTGGGGATATGGGGTGGGAGAGCACATGCCCCAACCCACACCCGGATTTTATCTATAAATTTATTTTGGTCTGTATCCGTACAACGTAATAGTTGACCACTACATGTTCAGGGCCTGATCAGGTCAAGTGTTATGGAGGTAGGATTCCGACAATTTTAAAAGGGCATTGACTTTCCTCGAAAGGACATCAAACCAAGCATCCATTTTTCTGTTTACATGGTACGAAATGAACTTTGACAATAATAAAATTATTCTTTTAAAGTTTTATTGCGAAGGGGCCTGCCGTGTTCTCTTCCTTGCAGCAAACTTTGTTGCGCCCCAATGCCTCATGGTTTTCATTAAATGATAGATTTCTACGTCACTAGCCATTTCTACATGACGTCAATTGCTAGATGTCCTGAAGTAAACTGATAAAATGTATTTGATTTGGCCAGTTCGATTAGCACAGTATCTATGTAATCAGCTTAATCCCGTTGTTTCTTCGCTTCAAAAGTCATTTGGAAAAAAAAACTCGAAACATCATATATAAATTTAATTCATGAAAAACCATTTCAAACGCATAATTATGTTTCAATAAAATGAGAGACGATCCTCGACACACTTAAGAATCTAGTTTGCATTTTGCAGACGACAAATTAATGAGTGATTGAATGCAGAAGATTTCGGTATCAGAGTGCACGATACTATTTTGAAAAACAGCGCTATGCGAATTATCTTTTGTAAACTCAAGGATTGCGAAAAAAAAATCACCAACCTGGATGCCATATTAAACTGGCTTAATCTTTGCGCTTCTTTCTCGTTTTTTACTTGTATGTCGGCTCATAGTTACTGGGATGGTTAGGCTATGATGCCATATATCTTGTCTTGGGATATTGCTAACGCAAGGTTCAGAAGCAGTAGTCTAAATTTAATATCGTTTTGTTTATATTTATTTTTCCTATGGCAGACAGTTCTTAGTTCTGTTTATTGGGTGAGAGGCAAAAAAGCTGACTAATGTAATCAAATTCTCTCTCTCTCTCTCTCTCTCTCTCTCTCTCTCTCTCTCTCTCTCTCTCTCTCTCTCTCTCTCTCTCTCTCTCTCTCACACACTATATATATATATATATATATATATATATATATATATATATATATATATATATATATATATATATATATATATATATAGTGTGTGTGTTTCCGAGGGCAGACAGTTCCTTTGACTGCGTGATTGTTGAGGAAATAAAAGACAGGTAAGTATAAAGTTATCTCTGCCTTTCTCAAGCACACTCGTATGTTCGAACATGATCTCTGAAGCCCAGAATAGATGTATGATAGTGCTACTGTTCATGATACTAAGAGATACTAACTTCTTAAACCAATTCATTCACTTCCATCCTTTCTTTATAAGCGGTAATTGACGACAATTCGTTTATTTTAAGGCGACATAATCTGCTATTTCAGCTTATGGGCCTTCTTATCGCACGCACTTTTGCTTTACTGCGTTTGTGTGTGTGTGTGTGTGTATATATATATATATATATATATATATATATATATATATATATATATATATATATATATATATATATATATATATATATATATATATATATATAATGTTTAAGGATTCGAACTTTTAAACTCTACAAGACGAGGGCACAAGTTGAAAATAAAACTTCAATATTTAAAAAAAAATTCTAACACCTAGAAGTTGTGATAGACAAGCCGGAAACTTAAATAGACTTGTCAAGAGTAATCACATTTCCTTCTGAAAATGGTATAGTGTCAAACAAGATATTTGAACTACCGCTGTCTCGTTTTTCTTTAAATTGTGAAGAACCACACATTATCTTGCTGTGGCCTAAAGCTGAAATCCAGAATTAGACATTCTTAGGGGAAGTCTTGATAGACCATTTTAAAAGATACTTACCTCTTTCAATGTCAGATAACCTCACAGCGATGAAAGGTAAATGACGGCTCTTTTCTACAACCTGTCAAGTGATCTCTAATACTATCATTGCAAACCCCATCATCGTCATGTTTCAAATGCGCTACTTGGTTTATGTTTTATTCTTAAACCACATTATCGCTGTAATTCGTATGAACTATACTAATTTACTAGTTTATTCATTCATTTCTGACAAGTATTTTAATGTATTTTAACGTATTACTTCGGTAAGCATTAGTAAAATAGATGAAAACCATACTATATTCTATATTTCTTCCTTCATTTTTCATTCTTGTTTCTTCCTTCCTTTCTATCTTTCTTTCAAGAGAAGTTAAAGTACTAATCGAGTAGCGATATTTATTTTCGAACTTTCAGAGATAATTGACGAACTATCATAACTCAGTCTCACCTGTTAGTGTTTCTACCATGGTGGATTTAAATTCTAATTTCTGCGCAGCATTAGTAAAGGAGGTTAAAGTTGATGATTATTGTGAAAGTTATGTTGCGGTTAGGCCTACATGCAAATATATATCCCTTGAAAGCAGGTGTCAGCCATCTTTGGAACGAACGGTTTTTATCTTGTACGACTATGACATAAAACACTGTCTTGCGTATATTTTTTTTTTGTATGAATATAAAATCGATACTACGTTTTGAAAGCATACTGGCTTCTTGAATTTAGATTCATGTTTATAGATTACATTGCAATGGTATTTCGTTAAGGGTCTTCAACACCAGACGCAAAATTTCTTATATATGCAGAATAGTCTGACAACTGGATAGGTAACTGGAGAATATTCGTGTGTCGTGGATTTAACGCCACTTTTTCAACACAATAGGCTATACACGGACGGTGGCCAGTATATCTGGTGCAGAAAGAAACCTAGTAGGGCAACCAATCCACGCGAAGCTACTTGCAAGCTTTTTCCCATACCCACATTGGTTGAGTCGGGATTCGAACCCATGCAAATGGATGTGAAATGTCTGTACTCTGAAATGGCCAGCGCCTTAGACCACCCTGGGCTCCTTGGTGATGACATAGTTGATTAGAATGCCAAGAATTGATGCCTTATGAAATTGAAGTTATGTTTGTCTATGTAGGCATTCTAAAAACAAAAAAAAAATTACTGCATTGTTAAATGATTTTGTTAAACAAGAACCTTTCTTGCCCCATTCCAAATAGTATTCATCACATTATGTTTATTACAAGCATGAGGTGGTATGTTTTAATTTCTGACATCATTTTTGTGTTGGCATACTAGTTGCGATGGAAACTACGTGTTAGGAAAATATTAAAGAATAGAAGCAAATGTTTCATGTTTTCCTTGTATTTCTCATTGATACTGTGTTCCATAAATTATTCACCAAATTTCAAATGACGATATATTTTATTTTTAAATTTCTTGGTATCAAGTTGTATTTTTTTTAAAAAAAAAAAAAAGATTTTAAAAACTCACCCGGCATAAACGTAGGTAAGATATGATGAATAAATCTAACTTACTAGTTAACATAAAACTTTGATGCTTTGTTGCAAAAATAATATAATGATTGATCAAATCAGGCAATGTGCTTGAAATATCGTTTAACATCATTAGCAGATGTGATTGATAAGGATGCCTTTCAACAGGCTTCCGATTTTTCTTACTGAAAATATTGGTTTTTTACTCCATTGTTCCTGGAAATGAAAGATGCTCTTCCTGCAATTTTTCCCTTAATTTCTTGTCAGTGGGCACACACACACACACACACACACACACACACACACACACACACACACATTCATGAAACATCGTCGATGTAGTGTCACCTTCTTAAAAAGAATGCCAGAATACGTTAACTTATTTTAAAATAAACCCGTAACTAGTCTCCTTTATTATAAATGTTCTTCAGAAACTCTTTCAAACAGGTATGTACGTAGGTACGTGAACTTGACACGTAATATTTGTTGTTACGACGTATTATTGTTATTTGCTTAAGAAAAACAATAAAATTAAAAATTAAACATTAGCTATTAAAATGTAATGTATAAATATTTCAATTACTTATCCAATACCTTGGATTGCTTGTTTTGTAAAAATTTAATTTTGGTGGTCACTGTTCCTTGAAATAGCCAGTCGTAGCTATAACCACCT